AGCGAATTATTAAATTATCGAGTTAATAATTTAACACGTTTTCACCGAGTCGGGGCCGAGAGAAACTATTATTTAATCGAGGTTATTAATTTATCGATGTTCTACTGTAATTCAAATTGATTACTAAGATAGCAATAAATATTAAATTGCTCTGCCCTTCTTTAACATATTTTATTTATTCTTTAAATTTTCGAATCAGTCTGAAATTAAACTAGGATTTAATAATTTAATGAATATAAATATATGATCATACCAAGAATAAAAAACTAATTATATATAATATGTATATATATACAATATGGTTCGATATATAATACATTTTTTTCAACGGTTCAAAATAAAAAGGAAAACTCCACGTATTAGGAATCGATCTAATGAGCCTAGCTCATTGGCTCAGCGAAAATCCAATTTTACATAGATGATAAATCCAAGCCAAAGAATAATATTTCAATTATAATATCTTTCATCACAAATTTAAAAAATAAAAATAATAATAAATGTCCCATCCTTTTATCTTTCTTATTATTTATTATTATCTTAACGTATATAGATAACACTAAATAATTGTTTTATTCTATTTTTTTATAGCTGTTATCAATGCATAACAGTGAAAGCAAAAACACATATGTCCAGAAATTGAGTGCTAAGTTGTATTTTATGTTCATGATAAATCGACGGTCCCAGAATTATCATGAAATATCTGTCCATTTTCCTTCTTGACAATTTTAATTTATTATTTGTGATATTTTGAGAAGAAAAAAGCTTGAGCGAGAAATAATCGATCGATCAATTAGGCGCGCACTATGACACGAAAAAGGGGAACAATTTGATGAATGATAAGTTGATCACTACATTGGATTGTCGAACAAAAATGTAGCACAGCAACATTATTGAATGGTCCCTTTAATTGGAAAATAAAAATAAATAAATAAGAAAGAAAAGAATTTAAATACTTTTTTTTTAATTTCTCTAAAGTCTAATGTGTAATTTTGAGACATCATTTTCAGTGACAACTCTCCCATAATATGACCCACTCCTTAAAGACAACTAAGATATTAAATTTCGCATACTTCTTACTAATTAGGTATACCATCTATTTTCTATTTGGAAATCAATTATTTTCCACACTAAATTTAATATTAGATGGAAAATCCTTTATTTTGTTAATTAAACATTGAAAATTATTCTCCCCATTCCTTTTCTTCTATTATTATTATATTATTTTTATTATTATTTTATTTTAGCGTCTTCGTAATTGACATGGACATACCTTCCACGACAATAATTTCACTAGATATTTATCGACCCAATGTTCATTTTGGAATTTTTTTTTTCTTATATATATATCTCCAAGTTGCTGAAAATTGTTCCAATAAAACTCATTTTTTTCAGAATTAATAATTTAATTTTTT